TCCTAATCACGTCCAATCAGTATAATCAAACACAGCTGGACTCAAATGAAGGTGTAGAACCATCTCAGGGATGATCAGAAGAAATGGACAGCACCTAAGTTAAATATATGAGTGTCACAGCAAAGGGTCTGAATACTTATGACCATGTGATATTTCAGTTTTTCTTTTTTAATAAATCTGCAAAAAATGTCAAAAATTCTGTGTTTTTCTGTCAATATGGGGTGCTGTGTGTACATTAATGAGGAAAAAAATGAACTTAAATGATTTTAGCATATGGCTCCAATATAACAAAGAGTGAAAATTTTAAGGGGGTCTGAATACTTTCCGTACCCACTGTATTTCACCCCCTCCCAGCCCACATTGACTGAGTCTCATCCACACCTGCGAATTAAAATATTTTTCACTTGTTCCATGTCACATTTGCAGGACTCTTACCCTGGCTGAATTCTCAGCAGCTAAGTCGGAACATTTCAGACTGACTGTTTCTGTGTAGAAGGACACTGACGAGCTCATTAGAATAATTTACAGCAGTGAGAGCCACTGCAGGTGGCGTCAGCTCCTCACGCCGGACAGCTCCGTCTCTTGAACTGTCCTCGGATAACAGTGAACTTCAGCTAACATCTACACAAACATATACATGGAGAATGAATATGTAAAAGGTGTAACTCCAGCTGCACCCGACTTACTCATGCAGGTGTTGGTGTGTTAGCGTGAGGGAATGCTGTTGTTTAAGGCAGTGAGCGGACACACACATACACACACACAGGGGTCTGCAGGGGTGACTGAAGCCTATAGCTTACCAGAAGATGAGAAGTGGTCGGGGGTGGAGGGGAGGGGGGTATTGAGCACAGTGCGTGCACACACACAGCGGGTGACCTTGGCGTTGTGCAGCCATTACACAATTCACTGGCAGGCCAATCGAATCCCTCTCTGTCGATCAATATCCTATTAAAGCAGCACACAAAGAGAGAGAGAGCGTGTGTGTGAGCGAGAGACTATGGGTTAGTGTGGCGGGCCTGTATTAAATGTAATTGGTCAGTTGAGTATATTTCTGCAGACTGGATTCAAACTTCTCCTCTTCAATCATCCCTTGTTCCACTCTCTCTCTCCTATCCATCATTAACCCCCCACTCGCCTGTCAGCCGCTCTCTGCTCCTCTCTTTTTCACATATACTTCCTCAACTTCCCTTTAGTTCCCGCTCTCGCTGCATCCAGCTGTTTCTGCCCCTCCTCCCCCAAAGCAGTTTCTGATTTTTTTTATGTTTAACAATACTCACTTTCCCTGATGTAATGACTTTGTACCGAGCTGCACCTTCCACATCTGGAGGCGTCTTAAAGGCCAATGTTATTGATGCACAAAAGCTACTTTATTAATCTATGTATAGTATGTATACACTCATTGGTCAGTTTATTACGAACCCCTGTCTCAGACTTAGTCATTCTGATCCAACAGTGATGATGTTCAGTCTGTTTCACAAAGCTGTTGGTTCACCTGTGTAATCACTGTGCAGGCTGCAGTTTGTGCTGCTGTTCACTTGTGTCATACTGATACACAGCTGGGTGAGAAACCAGCACCCAGCGCCCAGCAGGGCCTAGTCAGGGCCGTGTCTCTAGAGCAGCGTCAGGTCTCCTCTGTTGGAGGGAGGAAACCTTCTCCTTCCGAACCAGATCCCCTCACTGTGTCCAACCCACTGTGTCATCCTCATCGGGGGTGTGTGTGACAGAGAGATGGTGCCGCAGATGGCTGCCTCGGTTCTGTACCGGAGACAAATTTTATTTCAGTCCACAGTGGTCACACAGGTGAACCATCACCCCTGTGAATGGGCCTGAACACAGACTGAACATCATTCATTTTCTACCGCTTAATCCCTGAACGGGGTCACGGGGGGGGCTGGAGCCAATCCCAGACTGAACATCAGCACCTTCAAAAAGGAGGATTCACCGCAGCACTGTCAGATTAAACTGACTCAGTCTGAGACAGGGGTTCCTAATAAACTGACCACTGAGTGCATGTATTCATGGCATGCACACTTATAGATTTTAACTTGCACAGACTGTACTGAAGCTGCAGGTCTCTGAGCCACTTTGCTGTTTATAGACACTTGTAACAAGCTCAGTCTGCTTCACACACACACACACACACACACACACACACAAAGGTGTGAGAATGGAGTGCCAGGGGTGCACCTTGGCACTGACACCGATTTCATGCACACACATTTGTGCACACACCTTTTCTTCTGGAGTGTCAGGAGAGTGGATTTTAGACGTTAACAATTTGGGGATTAAGGTGATGGCAGAAGACTCCCACCGCACACACACAGGCAGACAGGAAGGCCGATGACCCAGTTGGCACCTTCCAGTACTTTCATCTGGAGGCATTCCCACCCGACACTCACGCACAGCAACACAGGAATGAAAAGACGAATAAAGTGGTTCAAGCTCTTCCACTCCTCCTTCCTCCTGCCCTCTGTTGCCCCTGGCAACACTCACACACCTGCTTGTGTGCCAACACCATATGGGCAGCACAGCACAAAGATGTGTGGCAGTTTTAATAATAATAATGAAACTGTTAGAAAGTGCTGCACATGGACACAAAACACCACATTCAAACAGAAGAGCAGCATCAGAAAGGTTCTCAAAGTGAATCGTCTGAGTTCAGAATCAATAAAAGGCTGTAACATAAAAACATGAGCGAATGGTTAAGATGTATAAAATGATTTAAATAAGGTTACAAGAGTAAAAGTTATAGAGTGAACGACCTACACAGAGCATTAATCAGAGTAAAGATGAGACGAAGCTGCAGCTGGCAAACAGCCAGGGTGGAGCAGAGCATCGACCTCTAGGATTCAGACACAGAAGGCAGGAAGCGGCAAGAGGAGATCAGCCGCAGTTCCTTCAATAAAAGCAGAAGTGAAACACAGCGTGCTCCTCCAGGCTGCAGTGTTCATCACAGACCGGGGGCGCACATCCCCATGGTTCCTCATCGTGGAAAGGCTGTGGGCCAGTCAGCAGTGGGCCACAACTGGAGCTCTGCGGTTTTAGCATGCATCTGTTTTTCACCCTGCACCACTAAACTGAGCCGAAGGTTAGCTTCTCGTGTTTACTGTGAGCCCTTGGATGCACAGACACCTGTACCTGGATCGCTTTGTTACTGCAGCAAACGCAAACGTGATCGTTCTTAGGCAAGTTCTGGGGTTGTCGGAGTTTTATTACAAAAATTAGTATGCAGACATAAACATGCTGCTGACAAGTTACACACACGGATAACTAAAAGAAGCTTAGTCGGTCATGTTGCCAGGCCAGATAGCACACTTCTCTTCAAACCAAAGAAAAACAAAACTACCCATTCAGACTGTTCAGACTCTGTTATCCCCCAAACAAAAGACATTCCACCAAAAAGGTTTGAAAGAAAAATGTTGGTAAAGAACATCTGTTGTCCAGCGCTCACTGTGAGAGGGGGAGAGGACGCCTGTCCTGTCCTGCCACCAAGCTCCATTTATATCTCAGTGAAGTCTAAACCTGTCCTCTACACCTGGCTTCTTCCTTACTGCACTGTACCTTTGCTGCTTCTGAAAAGAAATCAAATAAAGCAAATTAGTAAAGTACCTGTGTCCTGTGTGTATATAAAACAGGAACATCTCAGGTTTCTGGGGAACGGATTTGATTTTATTTGTTATTCGCAGTGGACGTAGAGATAATGAAAATGTCTGTGCGCTCAGATTTGGCCGAGTCATGAACCGGGGAAGTGCGATTTTTGACGGCATATTGAAAACACTCACAGCGGTCGCTCTATGTCTGCACAGTCTCATGTGATGATGTTAAGCATGAACACTAGCAGAGCTTGGGAAAGGTGTGTGTGCAGCTCCGCCGGCCAGGATCATCTCTGCAGCGCAGAGAGAGAGTTATAGATGGAGCCGGCTCACGGTGCTGAGCTCAGCAGAAAACTCCCCACCGGGTCCTGTCAGTCCTCCTCCTCCTCCTTTCATCCCATCACGCCATCATGCTCTGTGTCAATAAAGCGATGGGATGGAGGGATGGAGGGGGCTGGAGGCAAGGGGTGAGACGGATGTCCGGGTTTGAAGCTGATTGCTGCCTTTGTTCAGC